AGGATCAGCAGAAAGAGAGAGATTAAACATTTAGAAGAAAGAGGAAGTAATTGATGAAATGAAGCTCTTGTCAGGGGGTGAGAGGGTGGGTTTCAGAGCCAGGAAAAGATTAATTTGGGATAGGTGGGGAGGGCATATAGATGGTGTGCAGAGCAGGTGACTTTGTAGGTGGGTTGGCAGGAAGTTGGGGGTAGTTATTATACAGCTCTGTTTTTCAAGGAAAGTAGGATAAAATCTGCTGAGAAGGAGGTCAGCAAATAATCCTTCAATTGTCCGCTAAGACAGAATTACACTTATGCACTCAAATGGGACAAGAAGACTGAAAATTGATACCAAATAACCACCCCTCCTCTTTTCCTGCTACCCGTTTGAGATGTTCCTGATACATGAACACTATTAATTCCACCTGGCACCAAGCAGGCACCAGTATAAAATTGATGATGGCCAAGCTCTACCACAGAGTGAGAGATTCATGATAGTAGGACATTGCTACCTTAAACACTAGACAGAAAGAAAGATGAATTGGAGGGCACAAGAAGTGAATTACTAAGATTGTACGACAAATGGTATTGATAATCTTCGAAGGTGTCATCATATTCAAAGAGTTTAAGTTTAGGAGAATTCATTTAATGTGTGGGAAATAGGATGAATGAAAATGCACAGGGGAAGGAGAATGCAGTTAGAATTAACTTAAGTACTGGTTGAATCCATAGAGTGTAAAATGGTGAAAAGTGAGATTAAAGTGGGGCAGATTGTGGAAGTGTTGAACACCAGAGTAAGGGACCAAGACTTTATTCTTGGGGACCAGAGCTGTACTCTAGGAAGTTCAACCTATAGCACACTAAAGGAGGGACCAGAGAAGGAGACCTGGGATGGAAAGCCAAGGCAAGAGGATATCACAATAGTCTAGAAAAGAAGTGACGAGCACCTGCATGATAGGGCAGTGAGGACAGATGGGAGGGTGCAGGAGACATTGTCCAGGAGGAGTCTGAAGCAGTGGGTTCCCCAAACCCTTCTGGTCTATGTGTCCTTTTCCCTCATCCATGGTAAAATGGCATGGGGGTATAGATATGTACCAATTTTAAACTGTTTTAGTTCCAACTTTAGCACACCTACATTTGAAACTATTTTTTTTCGATTGTTGTTTATCTTTTCTAATGAATTTGTTGGCATTCTGTAGTATACAGTTTGAATACTGCTTCTTTATTGATATATGTGCTGCAAATATCTCCTGCTCATCTGTGACTTCTCTTTTTACCACAGTGTCTTTTACTGTGTAGAGTTATAAATTTGAATGTAGCAAACTGTACATTTCATGTTTTATGTCTAGTTTAAAAAATAATACTATCTCAAATCATAAAGACATTCTCCTGTATTTTTTCAGGGCTACATGTGCTGTCTGGTCATTCACTCTGTCTAGTTGACAGTGGTAATTTTACCGATATATATATATATATTATATATATTTTTTTTTTTTTTTTTGAGACATAGTCTTACTCTCTTGCCTTACCATGGGGACTTGGCCGTACTTCTTCTCATAGATGGGAATACGTTTACTCTTGAGCTTCTTCAAGACTTCCTGCAGCGCTTCGATCTGCAACACACCGCCCCGGAGCCGAAGTTGCCGCCTTGGCTGCGAGCCCAGCCCAGGTGCTCACTTCCAGCCCTAGTTATAAGGATCCCCGGACCCCCACACACTCTGCGACGGGACTCCGCGGACTGCGGGAATGGTCTAGGGAAGCGAACTTAGAGAGCGCTGTCCCAGGTACTGACCGCGGGTCCCGGACCCGCTGAGGCTCCTGTTGCTCCGAGGGGCCGGGACCAGGGATTCCTTCTAACGACTGCCTGGACCCTGTGGGCTCGAGACGATCTTCTGGTGACAGTGAGTGCCCGGCTCTGCGCTCAGGTCCCCGCGCCCTGACTCTGGGAATGGGAGTGGGGGCGGGGGGAGGAAGGCATGCAAAGGAAGGGACTGCGCGGCACCCCGAGGGGGTCCGGGGCGAGGGGGATACCGACCAGCTCCTTCTCGTGGGAGGCATCCTCCACGGCGGAGTAGATGTCCAGGGCTCGCGGCTGCAGCTCGGCGTCCTCCTGGGCGCGGGTGCCCAGCAGAGGTAGCAGCAGCAGCAGGGCGGCGCCCAGGAGGGGCAGCAGCCGCAGGCGGGGGCTCTCCATGGTGCTGAAACTCGTCGTTGCTGGGGCACCCCGCGCTCCCGCCTTTTATAGCTCGCCCGAGCCCCCGTGCAGGAAAGAGGGAGGGGGCGAGGAAGGAAGGGGGTGTGGAGGAGGGCCCGGGTCAACCGTCTGTAGGCAGCGCTCTGCTGGCGCTTGACGTCAATGCCCGCCGGGCTCCAGGCGCCCGGGAATGAGGCTTTGCGCACAGATGGGCTAGAGCGCAGAGAACAGGACCCTGCGCCCCCAAATGCTGTCAGCCCCGAGGCAAGGGACGCTCCCCGAGGGGCCTGAGCTGAAGCCACAGGGGCAAAAGGTGAGGGATGGGGAGCGGGAGGGGCCTAGGAAATGGAAAATGCCTTCGGGGCAATGCACAAGCAAGAGAGTTGCTTCCTATCGCACAGCGGCGGTGGCACAGTCCGCCGGCCCTGCCTTGCCTCTCACCCCAGCCGGAAGCTGGCAGCAAGAAGGGGGTGTTGCCTCCAGACAGTCATGTTTGTGGAGCACCTTACTAGGCACTCTGTGGGGTTGGGGAGGCAAATATAGCACATAAAAGAAGGAGACATCATGGCCTTGCCCACAGTGAGTTCTAAGATGGAATGTGTGTGGTGATAGTGAGGAAAAAAGAGGAAAAACAGACCAAGCCCGACTTCGCAGCTGTGTGGGGAGTGCAGAGAACCGGACTTTAGTTCCAGCCCTGGCTCCAATACTTAAAAGTTATATGACCGTGAACAAAATAAAGAACCTCTTCAGCCACAGGTTTTTTTGTTTCTGTTTCTGTTTTTGTTTTTTGGTAAGACTGGGATTGAAAAGACGTACCTCACAAGGTTATCAGTACAATGAAATGAGAGAGATTAGGTATGTAAAACTCTTGGCCCTTAGCACATAAACACTAAGCCTCCCTGTCCCTCCTCTCTGAACGCTGAGGCTGCCCAGGTACTACGTGCAGTATCTCAGCTTTTCCTCAGGGCAAATTCCACCACCCCCACCACCCAAGAAGCACCTGGCACTCAAGAAGCCAGTGTAGATAAAAAGAAAAGGGGTGAAAAAAGGAAGCTCCCTGATTATGAAAATATCTCCAGAGGTCAAATGTTAATAGTAAGCCAGGTCTTTAGTAACTTGGGAAAACAATGTTGTTGTTGTTTTTTTAAAGGTTAGGGTCCTTACAGCCTGAATGCAAATGAAAGTATCTGTAGAAGAAGGGATGCCTTCTTTCCCACTTAGACCTAGAAACGAATCCCACCTGCTTGCCCACCTGGCTTCTTTCACCATACCCTCTTTCCCTCAACTGCTCCTGAATCCACTCACTCTTCTCCACCCTAGTCCTGGACAGGTCCCTCAGCCCACTTAATGTCTACCCCTTAATCCCTTCCTCATCTTTTCTTGCCTTTCTTTAATCCACAATTCATTGCCCTCAAGGGTATCTTCCCCCTAAAATACACTAATAGCTCCCCATCTTACTAAGCATTGATTCTAAATTTCTCACCCAGACTTGCAAAGTATTACATGGTCTGCACCCCATCCCCACCTCATGTTCTACCACTTTGCCCCAGACACCTTCACTCCAGCCTCACTGACCTTCTTTTTGCTCCTCTAACAAGCCCATTTCATTCCCACTTTGATACCTTTGCACTTAGTTTACCTGGAAAGGTCTTCCTGCATTTCCAAATGGCTCACTGCTTATTGTTATTTAAATCTCAGTTTAAATGTCTGTGACTATTCAATCTAAAGTATCTACCAGTTTATTCTCCCATAAATATATTGCTTGGCAGATGATGTGGGTCATTAAGATAGTTTACACATAATATGTGTCTGGCTACCTCAATTATCAAGTATTTAATTGTTACTCAAATGCACACTGTGAAGTAATTCAAGAAATAACGTCTCTTCTGATGAATAGCACACATATTAACAGCATCAAAATATTTTGCTTTGGGGTAAATCCAACTTGAAAATGTATCTAACACCTCCCCCAGATCTGCTTTTCACACATACCTTTTGATTCTGCACAACAGAACTTTAGTGGCAGCTCATTTTACTGTTTAAACCTTATAGGGATGTATTGGCACTCATTGCAAAAACCATCTCCAAAGATCTTAAAAGTGTTCTAAGCTCCAGAAGAAAAATAATGCCAAATAAGGTTCCAGCTTATCCTTCCTCAAGAATGTGAATATTCCCCATGCAATACTTTCTCTCAAATATTATTCTACCCATACACAAGTCATAGCTTTCCCTTTTTGCTACTTCTATGGGAGAAACAACTCCAAAGTTCAAATTCTACTGATATTGGGTTGGTGTTATCATCTTCATGTAAGGAGGGTACTCCTTTAGTTAAGGGGTTAGGGAAAAGACTCTTAGACAACCCTGTGAAGGAAGCGAGGAGTATCTTGGCCATTTACATACCACAAAGTTTTTCTCATCTTGAACAGAATGACTTTATGAATTGTCTTTATGAAGCATGGTATAAAAAAGCCTAGGACATTTTCTTCCCAAAGACCACTTACATAATTTAAAACTAGAGAAGACACAAAAACATGAGGTGTTCTACAGTCCTTACATTACAGTCCTTACATGAGAATGTATATATTCTTTCTACATTATAATAACTCTATTAGTGGGGGGGAAAAGCCCACCTTTGATGTCCCCGAGCAAGTAAAGAAAAAATCATAACTAGATTTAATCACTACTTCTCATCATAGATATAGAAAAGGGAGGCAGGTCACCTCACAAAAAAAGAAGCAATGACCAGAATGTGTCTTTGGAGATTTACTGTGAACAAACCTATCTTAACCACTCCACCTAAGATAGAGTAGGCCTCTAGTTCTGCTCTTTTAAATAGAGCTTCTGCTCAAGTAGAGAAATCTCATCAGCAGAGAGCCAAGAAACTAGTGCCAGTAGGATCTACTTATAACATATTGCTATCTGAGAAGAAAATGTGAAAGTCTGGGAAAACCTCTTCTTACTCATGTCTAACTCTTGGAGTTTGGAACCTTTCACTGTAAAAATAACCCGTTAAATTGATTTGTGACTTGGCAAGAAAACACAGTCTACTTTGTTTTTGGTTAAAAAAAAATAAAACCTTAAAATATAGGGGCTTGTCAATATTACTTAATAAGTACTCTACAGCCCTAAGTTATTAAGCAAATGAAGTGGTCATGGGAGCATTAGATACCAAAGTGATGTTTTTCCCAAGCTCCAGTATTTCTCCTTCCTTCCCTCCTTTAATTTTAAATAATTTCTTTTTCTATCTATCCCAGAATAACACTGGCCATTTAGGTTGTCATATTTCTCAAATGTCTGACTACTTTGTTATCCATTAACCTTCTCTCCATTCCCCTACCACCACCCCAGCCAAGTCTTATTCAATAGTAAAACTTCCTCAGTTTCATTGACTTCCTAAATATTTATATTTAAGACTGTTTCTCCGTATTTGTGTTAGCTGCACTTTCTTCCAAGTTAAACATCACTCTGCTCTCTTTGGTACACATTTGCAATCTCTTAGGTGAGACCCTTTTCATTTCTACATTGTCGCTCTCCACCCTCCCTGCCTCCAGAAGAGAGATTAATTCCCATTGACATTCATCCTCTGTTTACTTCAAAGCCAAAGGAACTGGAATTCACTGTGTTCTAACTAAACATCTTTATCACTATCTGAAAGAAAATAATCTGCAAGTAAAGGACACTTGGAGCTGGTGCTAAATTGGGAGGTGTTGGAGATGTAGTAAGAAACAATATGTACTTTACAGACTGCCTCTGAAGGAGCAAAGCAGGGAAAATTAGACAAAGCTTTCCAGTATTTTTTTAAGCTTTTAATTAAGAGGTTTTTCAATTTCAAGACTCAGTTTTAAAAATCTGGATGCCCTATGTGTTCACAACACTGCTAGGTATTACGATGACTGCTGAGACCAGTTCTTGCCCTTGGGGATCTTTGGGTCTGGCCATGTCCCGAGATACCCATAAACCAACAACTTAATGAGGTGATAGTCCTAAGAAAGAAAAGAGAACCCAGAGAAGTCAGAGATTAATTCCCTCTAGAGAAGGGAAGCATCGTGAAAAAATGACAGCCTTGGAATGAGCAACTGGGTCTTAGGGGGTGGGTGGGATTTCAACAATAACAGACATCCCACTCTGGGGCCTTGGAGGCAAGTGGGCAGCACAGTCAAGTCACAGAGGCAGGACATCTGGGGGAACACTGAGCACTCTGGGTTGCTGGAGAGTAGGGTGCGTGGGAATGTGAGAGATGGGGAAACGGAATGAGAAACAAGACTGGAAAGGAACAGAGGAGCAGAAAAAGAAAATCCAAAGCAGCAAAAGATAGTTCCAAATTTGGATTCAATGAATAGGAGGTAGGAGCATAGTTGAACCCAAAAGATTCCATTTTTCAAACACTAATGCCAAAAACAAGCCTTTTTTTGTTTTTTGGGGTTTTTTTTGAAACAGAGTCCCACTCTAGCATCAGCCTAGCTCACAGCAACCTCAAACTTCTGGGCTCAGGCTATCCTACTGCCTCAGCCTCCCGAGTAGCTGGGACTACAGGCATGCGCCACCATGCCCGGCTAATTTTTTCTATGTATTTTTTAGTTGGCCTTTCTTTCTATTTCTTTCTATTTTTAGTAGAGACAGGGTCTCACTCTTGCTCAGGCTGGTCTCGAACTCCTGACCTTGAGCGATCCTCCCACCTCAGCCTCCCAGATTGCTAGGATTACAGGCGTGAGCCACCACACCCAGTCCAAAAACAAGCTTTTCACCTAAAAAGTCTAGCCTAAGAAAAGTGGCCCCTGTCAGATACAGGGAGGTAGCACTGACAAAGAGACACTTGCTCTAGGGCAAGGAAACCTCTCCCTGGATCCCAGCGTAGCAGCCCTTGCTGGAGTGCAGCAGCGGGAGTGGCATACTTAACCTACGCTTCCTACGCCACGGCTAGTCCTGTCTTGTCCTCTAACTTTTCTGGATCCAGACCTACAGGTTGAAGTTAATTTCTCAGCACGGTATCTAAGTTTCTCATAATATTGTCCTGGCTATAATTCCAATCTCATTTTCCTCCACTCCCAACCAGTCCTATCAGATATCTTTTATTTTACATGTACACCATACTTCTTTCTTAATTTTGCACTGAATTAGAGGAATAGACTAGGTTAT